CAGTTTTGCACTCATTGCTGATCCAGAATGGGTTCATGTTTATAGGTGTGTCAGTCAACTGTGTTAGGGGACAAGTAGATAATTTTTCGGTCATAATATTACCCACTGTGCTGAATGCCCTCTCGACTGCACACTGGCCACAGGGCAGGCCAGGCCAACAGCTTGATTGTGTACTGGTAAAGTTTCAATTTTGGATACAAAAAAGTCCACCGGGCCCTTGGTTCAAAGGTTGTCTACATCCACCCTAGACTCATTGGCAATGCATTCTAAAAAATAACATTAAAGCCTCACAGAAGCAGCCACCACCTCTATTGCTCCTCCTTTAAGTGACCTGAAGATCCAAGGCATGTTGGCCATAAACAGGGATCATTCCACTCCTTGGAAGGGTGAGCAAGAGGTTCTTCTACAGCACCTCTTCTAAATTGTTTTCTCTGAGGTAGCAGTATGAGAAATGCCATGTTTAACCTTGTATCAAGAATCCAAAAAAGGGTGACCAACCAGTATTGGCCTCTCTCCTTTAATGTCTGAATCCTGAGAAAGGCACTGCAGCATGAATGAGCCCATTTTCCACACATTTTCAGTGGCAGAAGACACCGAGTGTCCTCAATGATCTCACCCCACCCATGTTCAGGGTCTAGTAGTGGTGAACCATACAGCTAGAAGTCTGCTCCAAATTCTCTGCTTCCTCACTACCTGCACCCCAACCCTCCTCACCCATATGCTCCTCCTGCTACTGCCTTACTGGGATAAAGTCAGCTGTGAAAGGGTCCCACAGTCCCTAAGACCCCAGGAGTTTCTCCTCTTCCTCCTGCTGCTGTACGCCCTGTGTCCACAGTGTGTCCAGCAGGAATACCAGAGGGGTCCTGTCACTGATCCCTGCCTCACTGTGGCTCCCCATTCTGGTCTTCTCATCCAACGGTGACACAATGTAGTGCGCATGTTGATTCAGGAGCTACTAATGTTGTGACAAGAACTCCAGATCCCAAGAGTCTGTTCCCATCTTATACTCACACAAATACTAATTGACAGGCCACTGCTGCAGTTAGAGCCAGTGTAGTATGGTCAACGTTTAGTTCCAATGCATGGATGTATCGCACACCACGCAGTTGGCAGGCAGCTTGTACCGCCACTGAGTTTCATCCCTGCAAACACTCACTAGCATGACTGCCTGAAGTGGACACAAACCTTTCTGGCCTGCTGCAGGGCATCATGGAAGCCAAGGTACCAAACTAGAAACTGCTGCAACACCAGAGAACATGTGCCAGACAAGGCATGTGTGTGTGAACTATCGCTGTCAAAGGGTGAAAAGAAGGTCGGTGTCATTTTCACATGCAACCTTTTTCTGGGGGGGGGGGGGAATGGTGGTCCTAATGAGTCACTCCATATGGCTATTAAAGAAGAAAGGGTAGAGGAGACTGAGCTGTCACTGTCACCAATATGGAAGACACAGGGCAGCATCTGTCAGGGATTCTTACCTTTCCTTGTCCAGTTGCATGCAGCATGGCTTTTGTAGTGTTTCTGGCACCGTTGTTACTCTTTGGCATCCTCTTATGCTCACACCATTTAACATCATCATTCTGCAAAACCTAGCAAATTTCTGTCTCAAAATGATGATGCAAACACCAGCTTACTATTTACCCATCAGCTTGTCCATTCAGTCTCAGCCCTTGCGTTTGTTCTGATCAACCAAGTGTGCTGCTATTGTTCCTGTTCTCCGTGTATAACCATGGCTCTGGATGACCAATCTCTTGGTTCCTGACTATGGTTTTGTTTCCATTCATCTTGCTCTTTGTGTTCCCTGATCTGGTTCGGCTGACTACCTGCCATGGCTTCTGACCTCGGGCTTGGCATTGACGACAACCTGGATTTTCTCCATTCTTTATGCATTTATTTTTATTGTTGTTTTCAATAAACTCCTTTTATATATTAAACATGGACTTTAAGTTTCTGTCTGGTTTCTTGGTTCCCTGACAGCAGCACAAGCTCCAGTATGGTGCTCCATCCCACATTCTTCCCAGTCACCAGCAACTTTACCCAGTAAGCCATAAAAGAGATGCAATGTCCCTTCCCATGCTTGCTGGACCATGTGTCTGTGGTAATTTGTACCACGCTGCTGACACATCAGTGAGGCAGAGGGTCATCTAGGGACAGGGGTAGCTTGCAGAGGAGTGGAGGGACCAGCCATTCTATTCCACTGAATGTCATTGTCCCACTGCTTTTCACAGAGCTGCTCCACAGAACTCAACATACTGGACCTTTTTAAACAAATCTGCTGCTGACTGCTGCTGACAGCACCATAGTGGCTAGTCAGGAACTACAGTTACCCGACATATACTGATCCCATGGGTGCCTGATAAATGGGAGTTTACTGTGTTAGGTTATATTGAAGGTCTCTACAGCTTATGCATGTTTGTGTTTGGTATATTTTTTCATATAGATATACAAAAGAGATATGGTTTGCTTGCACATATTTACTACTTTGTATAGAGTCGGTTTGTCATACAAACTGTTACGTTGTAAGTTTCCTAATATAGTTTGCATGCACTTTGAGTTAAAGATTTAAAATGCGGTTCAAGTTTTCTTGAGTGGAATTACTTGATAGTATGGAAAATGACTGAGTGCATGTTTTATAAATGTTAATATTTAATGTATTCATTATTCAACTCTTCAGCCTCTCAACCACTTGATACATTCTTTGAATGCATTTTTCGTGCCTCCACCTTTACATTTGAATGGACCTGTTTCATTTTAAACATGGCTACTTTATATGCATGGTGCTCATTCTATCACAAAACAAAGAGCGATTGATTTACTAAGACTAGAATATGTTCACATAGCAAAGTAAATGTTCACTCACTGAATATAGTGAAGCTGTGTTCACTTTGAATACATCATGTGCAGTGCAATTATTTTTTAATTACCTTGCACATGATGTTGTCTTAACAAATTCACTGTTTTCACTATACTGAGTAAATATTCACTTTGCTAACATAACATTTACTTTCCATTTTTTTTCTTTAATAAATCATACCCATTATCTTTTTTTTCTTCATCCGTGCTCATAAAACAAAATGGGACTGTGGGCTTTTTTTTAACTGTTTGTATGAAAAGGGACCTAGAAATAAACAATAAAAACAACTGCATGTGTAATAGGTTGGATACAGAGTTTATAACTGATTTAATAGGAAGTAAGTGCATGTTGCTATGTGAACTAGGTGCAAGCTTTAACTCTCCTACAGATTTAGAAGGGGGAGTAACTTAAAGTTAGAGCAATCATTTAAATTTGGAGAAACAACAGCATATAACTATCTTAATATTAGCTATTTGAGATATGTGCCTCTCATGTCATCATCAGCATTAAAACGCCACTTGCTAGGCAACTAAGGTATCAGAAGGATTAACTGTTTGGCCTCTACCTCTAGGCAGAGTCTGTAATAATTATTTTTATTTAATTACCTTAAGTCTAATTTACTTCACCTTATGTATATTTGTGTGGCCATAAAATGAATGGCCCTCCTGCTCTCATCAGGACAGTTGATTCTAAATTTCATCACACAAATATTGTCAGCAGGTAAGCAGTGTGAGAAAAGGTCCCCTGGCACCCAAACTAAAGATGCCAAAGCATGCCCTCCCCCCAACTTGAGACAAACAAAACTTTCTTATTTGTACATACTGTAATGCAGTGTACAGAAATTACAACTGCTGTTCACTGTCCCCAGGGCCCCCACCTTTTGGTACAAGGACAACTGAATGATATGGGGGTGGTGATGGTGTTTAAGCCAGCCTGATTTAGTAACAATAGACATGTTATAACAGATTGTTACCACCTAAACCAAAGTTTAGCCAGGATGAAGTGGGGTTGATAAACGAGAGGTTTTTGCAAACAGAGGACCTACAGTTATGCAATGGGAGAGGGTCAGCTTTATTTCAACATAAGAAAACAGTGCTTTGCAATGTGCTGGGAATATCAGAAAATGTGAAGTTTCTGGTGCAAAGAGTTTATTTAATGCAATGCTACAAAATGGGTGAATGCAAATTTAAATGTGAACAGTAAAGAAAAGAGGGATGTAAATGAAGAGTGAATGAAGAGCAGGACGGGGATGTCACACTGTCAGTCCAGCTTTCCAGATCACACAAGGAGAGGGGCTCTCCCAGTGTAGCTAGCAAAACTCTACTCTAACTTTGACTTCTGGCCTGCTGTACTCTACTTATCAGAAGTGGTGTCAGGGCTCTTTATTTAGAGTTTTGGACTCTGTAAGCATGAGCATGTTCAGAGAGATTAGTGATTACAGCAAGTACTATAGTAGTAGTGGCTAGAATTTTGACTCAATTAAACAATGTTATGTATCCACAGCATCACCATGTAAAGGCACTGGAACATGTTTATACTCCTATCAAGACATATCTGTCTCTATGAGATTTAATCCCTTGAGCTGGTAGATTTATAATTGGATTTTACTTTTCTTTGCCCAGAGGATTGTTGTCATAGCACAGGGCACACTTTAGTGGTATACATCAATAGCTAAATTCATTTAGGCACTGTGTGAGTGATGGGCATATACACCTTCTTATTGTCCATTGTGAAAGTTGTATATTTTTTAAAAACAATGAAGGGAATTGCTAAAAATTGGAGTAGCTGTGCATGGCAACCAATTAGCATTTATCTTTAATTTTCAAAGCTTAACTGTACAAACTGAAGAGAGAAACTGACTTGGCACTATGGGCAGCTGCTCCAGACTCTGCAGTTTTAATACATTTTCCCCATTGTATATTGCCTTGAGAAATGCTGTGCAAAGATTTCTTATAGATAGGAAGTGTCTGCAAAGAGGCTACAGAATTTTAGCATTGATGTCCAACAAAAGAGTTGAAAAATAAAGATAGGTATTTTACTAAAAATGCCAATTATTTATAATATGCAGTGCTTCAGCAAGCTAAATATCATTCAGTTAGGGTTTACAACTACTACTTTAAGTAACTCCTTTCATTTTCTCCTTTTTTAGCTTTCTTTGTTAGAAGATATTGGATTTGGAGGAGTTCTTATTTATCTTGACCCATGTGATCTACCAGAGGGGAAAAATTCCAAAGACAAATCATTTATGGTTTCCTTAAAATATGGAATAAATCAATTTTCTATTGATTCTTTAAAAACTGGTAAGTTGTTACTATACTTACATTTATGAATACATTTTAGTTTTAATAGCATTATTTTTCTTTTACCTGCATGTTTCCTGCATATATTCATACTGTATATATGTCTGCATATATAAGTTATTTTCCCAGTCAAACATTATATGATTCTGCTAAACAAAGTACTCTAACTAAGGTATGTTGGATGATTCTAAAAAATGGTTTACACATTTAACAATATTTGTAATGGTTGCTGTAGGGCTCACCAGACATGAGAATCCTTGTCAAACTAATACAAACTAATACCTTCTTTATGCTTTAGATAAGCAATTTGTTAGCATTTATATCTGTAAGTGCGTACATATAGCTAAGCATTACATTTGGAATGACTATTCATGACATATTAATAAAGTAATATACGGTGTTAGATCCAAATGTATTCTTTTTTTAAGATTTACTTGATTTGTTATAAAATCAGCTAAAGCTGCAGGAAAACCTGAAGCCAGTTGAAAATGAAGGAAAACTTGAAGCCATTCCTGTCTGTTAGCCAAGTGAGTTAGATATTCACAGCATGAAGTACCTCTACAGCACAGTGGGAAAATAATTGTAAATTTTTTCAATATCTTACTGTATGTGACCTGGTGTTCTGTGAAGTGCCCTGGCAGATATTGTAGTAAATACAAGATTGCTGCTCTGCCCTTGCTCATTTTTGCATCATATCAAATATGTACTTAATTTTATTTTGTTGATGTATTTATGGCAGAAAATACATTAATGCTATGTATGAATATTTCCATGTCAACATTATCTTAAACTATTTGCAGTTACACAGAAATGTAATGTAGCTGTATGCAGGCATGTTGTTATGAAGATTGAGCCAACATTTTTATTTTCATTTTGGGTGGGAGGAGGGTGGGGTAGGATAACCAGCTTTCCTCTTATCTGTAGGTTGGCCTCCAATGATGACAGTCGATGCTAAGAGTGAAATGTGTATGATTTGAGGACCTGGGTAGGAATGTGTTTGGATCATTCCATGGATTAAATAGACTATTGTATGTTGATATCAGTATATAGTGATTGCTATCTTTTGGATTCCTATTGGAGAGCAATGACAGGCTCTTTCATGGGGCTAACACTTATAACTGTGTGCAGGATAAAAGAAGCAATATCAGCTGGCTTCTTTGTAGAATGGAGAAGGGATACAGATAAGTCACTGCTCTGACTTAATTATACATTTCAACTTGAGATACTGATCTATAAAACACAGACTTTTTTCCAGCAGAACATAAAAACATAGCATGGAAAACATAAAAAGGACTCTGGAGCTCCACTTGCTGTCTAAAATGAGAATATACCATGCACCCCAAAAAAATAATGTATTAAATAAAAAGCCTTCCTACTACTATCTACTTGGAGTCCCCGGTATGTATTAAATAGTTCAACCCACAAGAAACACCTGTCTATGCAACTCAACAAACCTGCAATATAAATGTCTCTATATAAACCATCTATAGCCACCACACATGTTCTATACTTTGACCTGTGACCTATTGTGTGGTGGGACTGTATCACCTGGATGGAGGAGAGAGAGGGACATGGGCACTGAGTGAGTGGAATTAACCCAACAGCGGGATAATTATCTCGGTGCTGTTTGATTTATGACTGCGGCAAGTATTCACAAGTTTGAGGGTTCAGCCTTAAGATGCTTACCTGTGCCCTATTATATGGGAAGGACTTTGTATATTTGTCTTCTCATTATTATACAGGCTTTGGATGTACAGACACTCCTCGGTATACAATGGCGTTACATTCCGATAAACCAATCATAAAGCATATCGCAAACCAAGGATGATACATGATATATTCAACACTTTAGTATCACATACAGTAGGCTTTTGTCCATTTGTAGGTTAATGTAGGAGTTTTACCCAAGTTTAGGGTAGGCTAAGCTATGATATACTGTATATAGTACAGCATATGTACAACCCAAGGAGCATCTGTATACAGTATATATACAATGCTATTGTGTGATTGTAAAGTCGAAAAATCTCAAACCGAATGATTGTAACCTGAGGAGCATCTGTATTGGCAGGTGTAGTGAGATATGACTGCCGTGTCCTAGACATGTAAGCTGCCAGAAAATTAATGTAGTTTTTGTTTTGGATCCATTTTGATTTGTTTTATCATTTTCGTTATCTGATTTGAAATTGGGATAAGTTCGATTTTCGTTATTCGAATGGATTGCATATTTATGTGTGGGATCTATTAGAATTGAGTTATTCATATTCACAATGACTTAAAAAAAACATTGACCCTTTAGGTCTGGCAGGAATTTTAGGGGGATCCCAGTGTAAAAAAAAAAGTGTGGGGTCCTCCCATAAAATCCCTTACCAGAGCCTTGATCCAAGCAGAGGCCTGGCACAGCAGCCCCCCTACACCATACCACTCCACATGTCCTCAACATGGGGAAGGTGATGTGCCAGGGAGGAGGGAGGGACCCTGGCAATGCACCTTGGCCCCATGTTGATGAGAACAAGGGCCTCTTCCCTACAACCCTGGCCCAGTGGTTGTGGGGATCTGTGGGCAGGGGGGCTTATCTGATTTTGGGTGTTTCCTTTCATAAAGGGGGCACTCAGATGCTGCTCTCCTTGTGAATGATAAAGGGATACTCATTCAAAAAAACACAGTAAAATAGTAAATAAACACACCACACCTGTTTGTATAGTCCTTTATTTTATTAGTAAATAAACACAGCACACAGTTTGTAACATGTCCTTAATTAAAAATTAATAAAGTCCCACAATGTAAATCCATTGTCAATCACGTCTTCCAGTGATGTAGATCCTCGTCAATCACGATGCCCGCCACTCACCGATTCAATGACTCGACGAAGAACAAATCCATGTTGCCCGTCGCCATGTCTGCACCCGACGAACTTTCACTGCAAGTGACTGCTCTACTCCTGAATGTAAACAAAGGGGCAGAGCAAGCCATGACGTGAGTTGGTTTATGTAGAGACATTTACATGGATTGTTGAGTATCATAGAACATATTTAGTAACATATTTAGTCTTTAAATCAATAAATAAAGGAAGAACATTTATGCAACACCATTATACATTAAGTATTATGGAAACATATGCAGAAAGCACTTATTTGAAACATTTACTTACCCTGTAATTGCTGTTATCATGGGAAATATATTAACTTACTACAAGTATCAGTACATCTCATCTATCTTTCTGCCAAAGCTTTCTAGCCATAATATCCCCTACAGCCCCATGTAGGGCCTATTGTCCTGCACATTTTATACCTTGGTGCAGGTGTTTTCATATTTTGCAAAATACCATCATTATGTTGTCTGAAGAAGCAGACTAAGCTCTGCAAAATTTATTGAATATGTGTGCCCTCATCTCACAATTCCTTGATGTTCATCTTGTATCAGGAATGATGTATAATATTAAGATGACTTGATTGGTTGATTGTTGTAAAATGGTGGGACTGGGCACATTAATTGGTTTTAGTCAAGGTATCAATAAGATTTTCATGCGGAGGCACAAATGAATTTTGGCTCAATGAGAATTATATTTTCTTTCATATTGATTTTATCACAATGTGTAAATAAAATTGGATGATACAATAATAATAATAATAATAATAATAATAATAACAACATCAATTGTAATACTTTTCTTTTTTATTGGTAAATAT